TCTTATAATGGTTTCACACAATTAAAATGATGGTGAAATGATAGAGATGTGTACTTTTCCAGGGTTGAAGGTGGAGGAGACTTGTGGCTTTAATGATCGTGAGTAGAGCCAAGAGAATGAAAAATATCCTTGTTTGGAAGCCTTTAGTGGTCACAACTCAAGGAGAAATTGCCAGACCACCATGTATAGTTCAGAAAGAAAAAGAGCACCCATTTGCCCAAGTCGGGGCCTGCCGAAGTATCAGCAAGCCTTATCAGGCTTCTAACTCTTCCCCTGCATGGAGTCTCCATTCCCAAGGCTCACCTAGTCTTTACCTTGCTAAAGATCCTATTGTCACCAAATGAGCCAGTGTGGTGATTTGAGGGAGTATTGGGATGACTGGACTGGGGTAGGACAGAGGTCATATTGCATCATATATGACAGTTAATGTTGCACAGTACTACACAATGATCATGTGTACATTTTAGACAAAATGTTGGGGCCTGAGTGAGAGCTTAGTCATCATGCAGAAGTGTTCAGAGTGTTAAATTTACAACTCTATAGATTGCTAAAAGTTTAAACTGTTACATACTCATGTATGAAAGTGGAAAAATGATACCTATTGAAAATATCCCAGGAATGGGGTAAGGGGGGCTAGAGAATGATGGAGGAGGTGAATTCAACTCTGATATATTGTAAAAACTGTGTACCCCCAATACAACAATAATGTAATAAAAAATAAATTAAAAAATGATAACTCAATGTGTTCTCTTTATTTTGTAGTATACTTCCTCCATAGTTACAGTGAGTTTTTCTCAAAATTATCAGTGCCCTTGGAAGAAAACTCCTTGTAAGATTGTAAATTGTTCAAATAGAACATTTTAATTTTTTTTTTTGTGACACAGTCTTCCTTTGTAGCCTTGGCTGTCATGGAACTCAGCAGATAGTCCAAGCTGGCCTTAGACCTCAGTCTTCCTGGCTCAGCCTTTGGAATGCTGGAATTGCAGGCATGAACTACCTTGCCTGGCTAGAAAGGTTTGCTGAAACATCATGTAATGGAAAGTAATCTCAGAAAGGATGCATGAAAGTTTATCATATACCAGTTGATACCATCATTGGGTTTGTCAATAGAGACACTGGGGCTCTGCCATGTGTTGACTGGATAATCTTGAGAAATTACCTACCCTCTCAGTCTTAGCCTTACTGTTCTTGTCAGTAAAGCCAACATATCAGACCCTTCTTTGTAGAGCTTTTGTGAAGGGTAAATGAAACTATACAGATATATATACATACACACATATACATACGTATCTACAAACACATAACACGTGTTATACAAATATGTGCATTACGCTTGAGTTTCTGTGAATGCATCATGATAAATAACTGGAAAATAAATGAAGATTCCAGTAGATTGTGAAGTACTCCACTCAACTCTTTTGAGGATCATATTAATAATTATGAGCTCACAATAATAGGTGGTACTATTACAACTTGGTGTTAGTCAAGGAGCCATGGGGCCATGCCATGCATTTGCAGACTCTTCTGAAGCAGTTTTTGTGGATGTGAACAAAATGTGAAGGAATAGCTTTTGACTGCTAATGTCATTTGAATGAGACTGTGCTAGACCTTGAAAGGAGAAATGACAGGATGAATTTATAAGCATTTAAAAATGATTTGAGCTAGTATATTCCTATCTTATTTTGTTGCCAATATTTTTGGTACTCAAGAGCAGGGTCATTTCTTAACAGCCAAAGATGACTTGGCAGTAGTGCGGCCATCCATCAACCACACATTGCTAAGGGCTACTGTATTACATTTTGTGGCAGAGTTACTTCCTTCAGAAATGCATGTGTGCTGATGTTTCATACAAGTGGTATGGTGGAAGTCATTATCAACATATGAAATCAGTTAATGAAGATTATTTTGAAGTTGTAATCTAACTTTTAATGTAGCAAGTAGTTTCTTCTGGAAAGCTACAAAAGTTTTGTAGTTTTTACCACTCCCAAGGCAATTTTATAAACAAAGTTCTTGATGGACCTCTTCTTTTAGCCTTGCCCTGGTTCAGTGGAGTCTTTGTTGAGAGTGCATGTAATGCCTTCAAATTTAAATTTCTTAGTTGCATATGACAAATATTTTAAGCTTTAGATTTTTATATTCATCTAATTAAATGCATGGCACTGACACAGGAATGAAGAAATAGATTTTTAGTATTTGTTTTGAAGAGTTGGGATTATATAGGTATATATTTACACACACACATACACGCAAACACACACACACACACACACACACATATATATATACACTACTACAGTAAGTGTAGTATATCTATATATACAGGAATGTGAACTTACTATATAAAGTTCAATAAATTGGAAAAATAGTATAGTCTGTACAAAGTCAAGATTTTTGTGGAAGAAATAAATGTAGGAAAAACAAGAAGTAAAAGAAAATATGACAATTTTTAGAACCTAAGGATAAAGAGATACTTTCTAAGTATAAAACCAAAAGGAGAATTATAAAAAACAGATTTATAAATTTACTTTAAAATAGTTAAACTTCAATGTGATAAATATGCAAGATACCAAAGGAAACAACAAATCATGAAAAAATCATCTAAAATCATATCAAAAAAGTGTCAATATCTTTACGTATATTTTTAAAGTTTTCAAAAATCAGTAAGAAAAAAGGCAAATTATCCCTGTCCCCTTATAGAAGGTGAGCAAAAAAGTACAAAAGCCACAAGTTCCAATATACATATAAGATATTTGACCTATATATAACATAAATACAAATTTTATTTATTTTTTTTTGGCAGTACTGGGGTTTGAACTTGGCCTCACATTTTCTAGGCAGGTGCTCTACCAATTGAGCCACTCTGCCCGCCATATAAATACAAATTTTATAAAGTGAAGTTCTAGCTTAATATTCAAAATATTGAAAGTGATATTTATCATTTTCTGGAAGGGATGCTACTTGACATCATGGATATGTAAGAAGCATTGGAATGCCTTTTGGCTATATATAATACATATCATATCATGTATAAATATGAGGCTTAAAATATGCCTACATCTGCCTTATATTCAGAAAATTATCAGAGAAGTGTGCAAAGAAGTGTGGGCACTATTTAAAACCAAAAAATTAAAACCAATGTCCAATGAGATCAATAGTTTAAAATGATAAAATTCTGCTGGGCACCTACAATAAGTGTAGGTGTTACATGTTGAAATCATTTACTGAGTCATAGGCTATCATGCTATCATTAAAAATCATGTTTTGGCCAGGTACAAGAGCTCATGCTTATAATCCTAGCTACCCTGGTGGCAGAGATTAGGAAGATTACTGTTGGATGCCAGCCCTGGGAAAAAGCTAGTGAGACCCCCTTCTCAACCAATAAAGCTGAGTGTGATGGCACACACCTGTTACCCCAACCACGTGGGAGGTGTAAATAAGGGGATTACAGTTCAAGACTGGTCTGGGCAAAAAAAATAACTAAAGCAAAAAAGGGCAGGGGCATGGCTCAAGTGGTAGAGTGCTTGCTTAGCAAGCATGAGGCCCTGAGTTCAAATCCCTGTACCAAACAAACAAAACCTGTGTTTTTGAAAAGTAACAATATATATGCACACACATATATATGGCAAGATTCAAAAGACTGATGAGAAATACTGTACACCAAATGGTAGCTTTTATGAATGTTGGAGTGAGGAAAAATAGATGATTTTATCTTTTTTCTTCTTGTACTTCACTAATCTAAGTAAAAATATGTTAAAGTAATTTAACCTATATTACAGAAAATGTCAATGTTAACATAAAATGCAGTATCAGTATGAAATAGTATATATTTACATCTCAAGTTAACAATAATTTTAATAAACTCACCATTTTCATTAAACAAGTAGAGATTTAGTGCCTCTGCTGTTGTCAGGTACTGTTTTGGGTGCTATAGGACAGTGCTATACTGCAGTGAACAAGAAAAAAATGACTTGCCTTGACTTTTGGCAAGGGTGGGGATGGGGCAATGTACAAAGGGAGAGTTTACTTTCATGCTTGCTCCTTCCCCTTGTGAAGAAGTGTGTGTGCATGTGTGCATATGCCACATGTGTGTTTGTATGTGTTTGATGGGGCTGAAGATGCAGTTGCTCTGTGCAGTCCTGTGAATATATAGGGGAAATACAAAGGGAAACAAAGGCCTTAACCTTTGATTTTGCTGAAAAATGAGCACACTCAACCAACCAATCTAAATAACTAAGCAGGAAACTGGAAACACTTGTACTTTTGCTTCTATGGCATTAAAACCTCACTGAAATCCCTGATTTTAGGGCCAAGTATACCAATGCAAGTCTGTACTCAGAATTCTGGACAATCTCTAAGTCTAGAGGAGTAGACTCAGGGCTTAGACTGAGTGATTTTATTTTCAAAAACAAATAATGAAGCTTAATTTTTTAATAACTCTGATGCCTGAGGTCTCTTTGTATAGAATTTTGGATTTATTTATTTACAGGTTCTTAAATGTCAATTTTCTTAATTTCAAGATGCCAGAAAAGGAAGAGAGAAGGGTAGCCTTAATCACATCTGTTTATCACCTAGCTCTTAAAAAAAAAAAAAAAAGAAGAAGAAGAAGTTATGGTGATCTTAGAGTGAAAATGAAAAAAAAAAGGTTTTTGAAATATAAAATGGCCAGTAATAGGGGTTTAATTGTATTAGGAATATATACCAAATGCATAGATGTGAAATCTTGGAACAGTTCTTATCATAGCAAACCAGGCAGTATAACAGATGAACAGGAAGTTTCTGGAGCTAGGCGGTATAATAGTAACCACTGGGTACTAACTAAAAGTACCTACCGAGAGAAACCACACTTAGCTGCTTCCTTACCACACAAGACCCCTGCCACAGAACTCAGCACTCTGCAGTGAGTTGAGGTGGACAGAATTATCATTGAGCTGCTTCCTATGCATCCTATCTGTGTCACACAACTCTTCTGGGCGGTTATAGGGGTGCTTACAGCCACTTACATTCACTGATGATTTCCAGGGAGGGTAGGAAGTACTTGTCACAGACAGTAGACACAGCCATGAACATGTAAAGAATAATTAGGAAGTAGATTATGATGCCTCCATCCGTGCTCTCTTGTTTTGTGAAAAACCCTTCAGGAAATTCCGAGGCTGGAGAAGCAACACATTGGGTGCCATTTTCTGGTAAGGAAAAGGAGGTGGAAGTTTAAAGAATGTTGGAGTCATACATTTCCAGCCTACAAAGAGCATTTCTTTAAGAAAACTGTGGGGTGTCCACGTGGAATTTTAAGAACCCAGTGAAGATGTATAAAACACTTCTGAATATGAAGTAAAGTCTTAAAAATTAGTCTTTGGACTTGAAAAAAGAGATTCTTTAATGAAATAAGTCCGTGATGATAGAATAATTAAAAAGAGGAACAGATCACAGCATTCCTCCATGCTTGTCTCTAAAAGGGAATTCTGAACCCTTCTCCTTCTGAAGAAACTATGCCTCTGCTGAATAAGTGTTTCTAATAAGAATAAAAATTCACTTTTATCATTTAAGAGCCCAAGTTGTTTTCAGGCTTGCAAAGAATCATCCACTGTTGCAGAGTTTCTAGGGTGAAAGTTATTTTTTCCATGATGAATTCTCCAACAATAAAAAGTGGAGAGTTGCCCATTTCTTGATGTCTGTGAGTTACTTTGGAATTATCTTCAAGAATTTATTGGAGGTATCAAAAGTGTTTGATATTCTTCCAAATACTAAAAATCAGAACAAAAACAGCAGGCAGAAAGCAAAAGGAGTCAAGGAAACATTTCACCCCTCTGTCCCTTCATCTGTATGTGACAGCAACAGCAGCAGGGGTAGCTGACCCTAGAGTCCACCTACCTGTGGCCCTTGGGAGACGCTGGGGCAGGGAGACACCTGGGAGAGGCAAGTATGCAGAGGTCCAAATGATCCCAAGCAGCAGGGCCCTTCTCACCCACGTTCGACCCCCTTTTGTCTGCATTTCCACTGTGCTTCTGCCGTGCGAGGTTTCTGGAAGGGAAGAAAGGCGGATTATGCTGGATCACATGAGGAGCCTCTTCCTGCCCAGTGCCTGCCCCTGGCACATGTCAGCAAGGCCAGCACAGGAGCCAGCCTGGGGGATTGGGGAGGAGAGAGACAAGCATTGTCTACCGCTGTTCCTTTGGGAACAGTCTCTGAGGGCAGAGCCAGGCAGCCTGAGTTTTGTGGAAGACATTTTATTTAATGTCTTGATATTGACACTGCTTTTGACTTTCTCTAGATTTGTAAAGACCTGGGTTTGCAATTGCTTCCACTTCTTTTCCTCCAACCCTTGGTCCTAGATGTTGCTTGGGTTGGTGTACATACATTCTTTGGCTAGCTTGGCATCATTTTTTTTTTTTTTAATTTCTGTTTTGGTCTCTCATCTTCATCTTCATCTCCAGTTGAGGTGAGAAGCAGGAAGGTAAATTAGGAGGTGACTGTAATAAGTAGCTGAGAAATAAGGTTGGCTCGAATGAAGGCAGTGGCAGCGAGATCAAAAGAAGCCCCTAATTTCCAGAATTATTGAGCTGGAGTGGGTGCTATTTGATGGTCCCATTGGTTGCTCTTTTTGCCTGAAAGAGCCATCTAAAATGCAAATTGGACAAGTCAGGCAGCATTAAAAATAAGGACTGCTGTCTTCTTACTCTGGCATTTCTGAGTCTTGCATGGATGTTAAGAACCTGTGGCAGTGGAGGAACCTGTAGCTAACAGCACAGGCTCTGAAGTTAGATCACATGGCTTAGGCCCTAGCCCTGCTATTTAGAGCTATGTGACCTTGGATAAATAATTTAACCTCTCTGCTCCTCTATTCCACTATTGGAAAAACAGGGATCACCTCTATTGGATTGTGATGAGCACTGCAAAATTTAATGCTTATAATCTGTTCAGTACAGTCTCTGCTGTGTGGTCAGTCTTTTCTCTCTCATTTATCTATCTATCTATCATCTACCTATCTGTCAATCATCTACCATATTTATTACTCTTGGTTGAGATAAAAGCTTTCGTAGTCATAAGGAATGTTGTAGTTTTGCCACTTTCATGGTGCCTTTGCTTTACACATAACATTTGGAAACCGGGTTTATTTGGTGGAAAGGAGTTAAGTTGCTTCCTGATGTTTGTGATCTTGGGTTGGTTAAAAAAAAATTTCAAGCACCCTTTTGTTTTCTGGGAATTGTTTCCCATTATAAACCTCTCTGAAACTATCATTTCTAGGAAGTAGATATCCAGATGTGTGGTGTGGTTGGGAGGCTGTGATGGTGAGTCATCAAAGTGTAGCCTTTACAACAACCAGAGTCCTAGCTGCGGACACTCGCAGAGAGAGCTCCATAGACCACTGGACTGTGGTCTCTGGGTCAGCTGTGGCTAAGATCAGGGGAAGAGGTTTTTGCTGAATGGATGTATCTTTTTAACTTGTCCTCTTTATAACACAGTACTTCCACCAAGTCATACAATGGAATATCATACACAAGTGAAATACCAGGAATAGCAAAAACTGAAACCCACAGTGGAGATTTCCAGTGCATGCTGTGACTAGTCTAAGAAAGGGAGCAAGTAAAGCCAATAACTGCTGAACACAAGTGCATTGAATGTAGTAGGTGCTCAGTCAACAGTGGGTGACTGATTCTACCGCAATGGTTCTTGAAAACTGCATTCCAGTACATGTCTGTGCTTGGTCTAAGCAAAATATTAATTGAAAATGGATTTATCAAGGAAAAATAATTTAGGAGGTGAAATAAATTTCCTTTACACATTTATTATTCATTTTCCAATAGGGTCTTAAAAATATGTAAAATAAAACATAGATAAAGAAAGTCACACAAGATAGATGTTGTGCAGTTTGTTATTATCATCATTATTCTTGTAAGAGGAATACCCTTGCAAACAACCTAGGTCAAGAAATAGAATGTTGTCGGCTACCCTAGAGGTTCCTTCATGTGCCTCAGTCTAAACTCCTCCCTTTTGTTACAGTAATTTCTTCTCTCTCTCTCTCTCTCTCTGTGTGTGTGTGTGTGTGTGTGAGAGAGAGAGAGAGAGAGAGATCTAACTCTATCCTTCCTTGGGTGCATGCTTAGAATGGATGCAACTTAGTTGGCCCTTAATAAATATCTTTCAAGTTTCTTTTAGGCTATAGGCCTACTTTCCTTTCACTTTTGTTCCATTTATCTTACCTGTTGGAAAACCCAGGGCATTTGGTCTGCAGAATTTCCCACAGTCCTGATTTTGTTGATTATATCTTTGGTGGTATAGCTCAGTATTTTCCTGTGTTTTCAGTATTTTTATAAACCAGCAGCTGGCTGCAGAAACTTGCTTTGGCGACTGTAGGTGGTGTGTTCTTCCTCAGGAAGCACAACGTTTGCTCATCTCTCTGTTTAGAGTAAGTAGCCATCATATTCATTACCTAGATCTAATCTTTGGGGGCTGCAACAGGGTGGCATTCTAATGCTATAATTTTGTTTATTAGATGATTCCTATCATCAACTCTCTGGGTACACAGATATATAAGAAAGATAAGATAGATTCTGGATTGTTTATCAGTTCTCAAGACAATTACTTTGTTCCCTGTTCTCTTCCCCAAATAACAAATTAGATTAAAATTATTATGAGTTAATGTATTTAATTAGATTTTAAGGATTCCAGTCACTTGTGATTTTTATTCTTTTTGAAGGCCAAATTGTCTCATTTTTAGCCAGTGGGAGCCCTTGCAAAGTGGTTTCTGAACATCTTGACGTGACCTTAATTATCTTTGATAGCTTCCTCATCACCTGATATAAGAAGATCTTCCAGACTTATACACGAAATCAGTCATTTGTCCAAAATGCTTCTTTAATAATTTTTTTGAGTGGTATTTCAAGAAAGTAATCTAAGATTCTAGGTTGCTAGAGGTGCTCCTTACTTCTGGGTTGGTTACTGTTTCTAAGTTTCTCCCTCTCTCTCTCTCCATCTCTCTTTGTCTTCTTCCCTCCCTCCCTCTCTTTCTTATACACACACACACACACACACACCACCTCTTCACTACTCTTAATAAAACAACTCAAGCTCACATGAAACTTCTCATTCATGTTCAGAACTATAGCTTTATATTTTAAACCGAGCTTCTGTACTATGTATCCCTAATTTCCCTTTCTTTCAAACCCAGAGCTCTGGTTCTCAAGAACACAGATGATAGAATTAGAACATCAAATATTTTGTGGTTACTCATTCACTAATCTCATATTACTCTCAGAATAACAATATGGATGCTACTACCATCAGTACAATTACTGAGAGTTAATTATTTTTGTATATACCCTTTTATTCTCCCTCTATTCTTTTAAAAGAGCTATAGTCTATCCACCTTGCTTGAGCATGTAGTCATTCAATGACTCGCTTGTAGCCTCGCTTGTAGCCTTCATTTTAGTCCTGGTTCTACAAGTCTACATGTTTAACGCCCACCTTACATTGATGCTTCTTCAAATATTTTGATGCCTGAAACTAATTTTCTAGTAGATTCCTTGGAAGGATACATGGAGCAATTATCTTTGAGTTCTTTCATGTTGGTAATTTTTCAATGGTTGTTACAGTTTGTGGATACACAAAATTGGCTCACATTTTTCCTTTGAATACCTTAAATATATTATTCCATTTTCTTCTACACTAAAGCAGTATTGTTGATAAACTAATAATTACCTAATTTTGTACCTCTTATAAGTCACTTGCTTCTTATTGATGGTACTTAGGGGATTATTTTTGTTTTCCTCCAAGTTAAGTAATTTCAAATATATCATATATATATATATACACACACATATATAGATGTAGATATAGTAGATCTATGGCAGTGCACTCCTTCTCTGTCATTTCAAGTCTCTATTTCAGGAATATTTTCTTGAATTATTGTTTTTATTATTTGTTCTGCTCCCTTTGGCTTTCTTCCAGAGACTTCTACAATCTCTGTGTTAGATATCCTTTGAGTATCTTCAAAATTGTAATTTGGTCACAAATTCTTTTTATTTTTTTCATTTCCTTTCTTGTATTAGTCTTTTTTGAGATGGGTTCACTGTGTAGACTGGCTTCAAACTTGCAATCCTTCTTCCTCAGACTCAGGAGTGCATCGCCACACCTTGCTTTTTGTTTCTTTTTTGATTCAAAAGTTTTCATGGTTTTCCTTTCTGTTTCTCTTAAGATGTCTTAAGACATCATCTGATTATCTTTTGTGTTTATTGTTCTTGTGTTCCTTCCAGATTCATACTCATTTTTGAGATTTTTTTTCCCCCTTTTGTATCCAATTTTTTCCTGAGTACTTTATTTCTGGGTTTCCCTTTTCCTTCCTCATCTGATTTATGCTTTTCTCTATGCGTTGTGTGATTTCCTTCATGCCTTAGCTTTTAGATGGTTATCATTTGGATCTGTTTTGTGGATGTCTTCCCAGCATGCTTCTTTGAAGGAATGTCATTCTGCCCCTTATTCTCATTTATTCTTATAATAACTGTGTGGGATTTGGCCTCCATGTTTTTCTTTTCTTGTTTTTACATGAAATTAGTTTCCCCAAATTTTTAGAAGAAGGTCTTGTTCAATACAACTTTCTATAATTCACAGCGCTCCCTCTTCCATTGTTTCCTTGTCATCTTTAAAGGTAACATGGCTTATTTTCTAAGATTTACTGGCTGTTCTTCACCCCTTTGCTTATCCAGATGCCCCTCTTTCTTTCTCTTCCTCTCTTTTCTCTATCCTGCTTAGCTTTTATTCCATCCACTACTAGTAATATCACTGTGTACTTTCAAATCTCTTTGCCTTGGGTCCTGGACTAGAAGGGCCTTAAATGATCACTTACGAGAATTCTTACGGCTGAGACCCTTGTATTCTCCTGACGTTGGAATGAGCCAAACCTTTGGCTGCGATTCTGTCCTATTGCACTTCAGTGAATTCCTGTTGTCTGTTTGGGGTCTCCAGTTCTCATGTCAGTCAGATTCCTTGTGCCTTTCCTATACTTCGTTCCACATAGGAGCTGAAGCTTTGCATGTTTGGTGTCACGAATGAATGTATTTTGTCC